CCTCCATCCTCAGTATCGGCCTAACGAAAAACATCCATGGCGGCGGCTACGATGACTCTTGGTCTTGTTTTGCCGACGGGATTATCTCTCAATCCCTCGTTCGAATGTCGCGGTGGTGCTAGGGCGATCATTCGGTGCGCCGCTTCTCCTCTCACTTCCTCCATCGGCGCCGTCTCTGGTTCGTGGGGGAATCACATGTTTGTTGTTTAGCTGATGCACTCTGTCTTTAATTGGCCTTCTTAAAACCATTTTTGGTTTGTTAAGTTATTGGATGAAAGATAAAAGTTTGTAAATTTATTTCTTAGTCTTTTGATTATGTGTTAGCTCTAAATTAGAGGTGCCCATTTTGTTTGTTTTGGAAGTAGTGAGTGAAAATGATGTGAAAGTCTTAATTTTTTTTTCCATTGGTAGGTCTTGTGGAGAAACCTTGGAGTGCTTACAATGCTAGGCTTGTGTTAGAAGACGGTTCTATTTGGCCTGCTAAGTCATTTGGTGCTCCTGGAACACGTGTTGCGGAATTGGTTTTTAACACCTCCTTGACAGGGTGAGATTTCAGATTTGTTGTTTGATTTAACATTACAACACCTGTTTTGAGCTTACTGGATCTTCGGTTTTGAGTTTGCTTGTGTGTTTTCTCTTTCGAAGGTATCAAGAAATTTTAACTGATCCTAGTTACGCTGGGCAATTTGTGCTAATGACAAACCCACAGATTGGTAACACTGGTGTGAATCCAGGTAAGTGGGAAAAGTCGGATTTTTGAAGTTGGGGAAGTTTCTTATTCCACTGGAAACTTAAAGTTTCTTATTACGTTTGTAATGTTTTGTTGTAGATGATGAAGAATCTGAGCAATGCTTTCTTACTGGTTTGGTGATAAGGAGTCTAAGCATCAGGTAAGTGTTAGTTTTGATGTCACCGGAAGAAGCATTTGTCTTCTGGCGTGTCTTCCGTTATCCTCTATTTTAGAAGCTCCTCCTAACTTGTAATATCGCAAACTTTTCAGTACTTCAAACTGGAGATGCACGAAAACACTTGCTGACTATCTAACCGAAAGGAACATCATGGGAATTTGTAAGTTTGTGGTGCTCACAATGCTGTTTTGATTCTACATTTTATTCACACATCTCTGATTATTCTATTTGGGGATTTTTGTTTAACGCTATCAGATGATCTTGACACTCGAGCAATAACCCGTCGATTAAGAGAAGACGGAAGTCTTATCGGTGTGCTTAGCACCGAACAAACCAAAACAGATGATGAACTTCTGCAAATGTCCCGTTCATGGGATATCGTTGGTCAGAATTCTCCTACCTTTTCCTCTTTTTTTTTTTCAATGCGAATATGACGTGCCCGGGATAATAAACTCCTTTGCTCTGCCTGGTTGAATTTTGTAGGTATTGATCTAATAAGTGATGTTTCCTGTAAATCTCCCTACCAGTGGGTCGACAAAACAAACCCTGAATGGGATTTCAACACGAATTCACGCAATGGGAAATCCTACAAAGTGAGTATTACTTACTCTACCCTCCCTCTTATCGATGCTCAATACCAACTTCTTACCCTCTCTTCTATACTTTTCTCTTGAATTCAAAGGTTATCGCATACGATTTTGGGATCAAGCAAAACATCCTAAGACGCCTATCCTCTTACGGATGTCAAATCACTGTTGTTCCATCATCATGGCCAGCTTCTGAGGCCCTTAAAATGAATCCAGACGGGATTCTGTTCAGCAATGGTCCCGGAGATCCTTCTGCTGTGCCGTATGCTGTTGAGACAGTCAAAGAGCTTCTCGGTAAAGTTCCTGTCTACGGAATCTGTATGGGTCATCAGTTGCTTGGCCAAGCTTTGGGTGGTAAAACCTTCAAAATGAAGTTTGGTCATCATGGAGGAAACCACCCAGTTCGTAATAACAGAACTGGCCAGGTGGAGATCAGTGCTCAGGTATATTCCCTCTCTATCTTTCTTTATTTTGGTTTTTACCAATATCCAACTTTAAAGTTTTCATATTTTCTTTGAATTCACATGAAGATTTAACATTTCAAGCATTAATCGAAGTTTGCAACTTGAACATTCAAAGTTTGCAACTTAAACATTATTCAAAGTTTGGAGCTTTAACTCAAATTGAGATGATTTTTTTAGAAGCCAATGTGGTACGAACATTATTACAACTTTCGACCAAATCTAAATCTTGGTCTGTAATTCCTTGGCAGAATCACAACTACGCGGTTGACCCAGCTTCGCTTCCCGAAGGTGTAGAAGTGACTCATGTTAATCTCAACGACGGAAGCTGCGCAGGTCTCTCATACCCGGCGATGAATGTCATGTCTCTCCAGTATCACCCTGAAGCTTCCCCTGGACCTCACGATTCTGATAACGGTAACTACCCTTTTCCCATTTTTCAGACAGTGAATCCAATCTTATGTTTCACTTATATTGAATAACTAGAAGATTAATGCTTTTGCTTTGTTTTATTTTGTGAATGCAGCATTTAGAGAGTTCATAGAGCTTATGAAGAGATCAAAACAGAGCTCCTGATCAATGGGAAGCAAAACGACTCTTTTGTTCTGTACTATTTGCTCTCTTTAATTAAAACACAATGGGTTTTGTTAGTGATAATGGAGTTACATTTGTTGTTTTGGCTGTGACTATATTAAGGAACCATCACTCCTAATAAAAAACAATTAAAGTCTTAAAGAATTTGTACGAAGTGAGACAGGAAATTGAAAAACTGTTATAAGCAAAATGGTGGAGAAAACGAAATAAAAGTGTTGATCTTTTCTGATGAACGTAGAACCAAGTCGGTTCAGTTAAACCGACGTCGGTTTAATGAGGAGTGTCCGTGTTGGGAATTGGGAAAAACAATTTTTAGATGTTCGAATTTCGAAGAAGAAGAATCTCGTGAAGACGATGAAGTGATAGAAAAACCCATTGAATCGATCGTTTCTCTGAAGCCAAAATCTCTCTCTCTCTCGTTCACTTCTTGTACCCAAACACGAATCTTCATCTTCTTCTTACGAGACTCGCTGTCTGAATTTTTCAATCCTGTCGTAGCTTTTTGTTCATTTTCTCAAGCTATGGATTGGGTTCGACTTCAGTAGTAAGCTTCTCCAGCCATGGATTACGTCAGGTATTTATTCTACAATCGTTTACTGTGAAATTCGAAACTTGGGTTCCTTACTCTCTCTCTATCGCTACTAATTCCAGCTCCAAAGGAAGGGTTTTTGGTATAAAGTTAGGGTTTTTAAAACTGATTTGATCTCTTTCTGACAAAATTAGGGGTTTATGGAGGAATCACAGAAGAAAGGTTTTTGTGACGGTTGGTTGTTTAGGAAGTGGGTATTTACTCTACAGATTATACAATTCACATACTCGTAGGCTTGCTGATTTGGAACGAGAACTAGCTCACGAGCGTGAAAATGAAGAACTCATCAAAACACAGTTAAGCTTCGAGCTTTGAAAAAACTGAGCCTTTCAAAATGGATTCGCTTTCTTACTGATATGTGTGTTGATTTGTACTCTTGCTTTAGAATGAAAGCTCATTTCGAGAATATTCAGATGATTGTGGATTCGACTACACTGCCTCACGCAATGCAGTATTTGAGTATTCGTATTAGCGAGGAGATTGATGTTTCTAATGTTATGGAGAGATTGAACAAAGGGAAAGGAATGTTGAGTTCGTCTGAGAAGCTTCAGTTATGGGATGAGCTCAAGATTTTGAGTATGCAGTTTTATACTTGCTTTATCAAAACGGTTTTTTTTTTATTTACCTGTATTTTGAGTGAGCAGATTCGATGTTTATTTTGTTCGTTGTTTCCTTCTTCCAGGTTTCACGAGGATGGTTTTGTCGCTGTGGTCAGTCACGATGCTTAGCTTGTACATTAGGGTTCAAGTCAACATTTTAGGCAGACATTTGTATGTTGACACCGCACGAGCTCTTGGTAGCTCCCATTTACTTGTAAGATAATATGCTTCCCCTCTTCTCTGTCTGATGAATTTACAGTTACTAATCGATACAGCACACGATCCTTGCGTTGAGTGTGCACCCTGGAAAATTGGAAATACTTGAGTTGGTCATTTTGTTAAGAACTTGTATAATTATGTTTCTAGTAGCTCTGTCTAATGGTGGTTATGCAATTGAGATTTATTGATGATTTTGGATTAATACTTTGGAATCACCTATCTTCGTTATACTCCGATCAGTCTTTGATATAGTTCCGGTTACATTTTAAAGCAAACTGCTTCTTGTCTTGTGATCACTGAACAATTTTTTCCATTGGCTTTTTTTTCTTTTCTTGCTTTTGCAGGAAGAGTTAGATCTCATAGATAGAGATGATGAACAAAAGTTCTTGTCAAGTGCTGATTATCTTGTGACCAATGCAATGCTGAGTTTGATTTTAGATATGCAAGCTGCAGTCAAGGAAGTTCTTAAAGGGTATGTTCCAAAACACGTCTCTAGATCATTACAATTTGTCTAGTATCGGGAAAAATCTAATATGTTTGTGTTTCAAATGCAGAAAGCAGTTAAAAGATGTAATTACCACAAGAGTATTTCAAGAAACCGTGTTACGGATTGTGGATGTGTTCATGAGCACTGGAAGTCCACATCACTGGATTGATTATTTAATGATGCCTCGAGACATAAGGCTTTCAAGAAACACAAGTGGCTCTTCACAGTCTGATGAAACTGTGACCAAGTTTCATCAACTCATGTTTGAAACACGAGAAGTACTCACCAGGTAAAGTAATATGCCGCTTTCTTTTAACATAAACACAAATATTTCCTCTTTATGACTCTTTGGATGATTGCAGACTATAATAGCTCTTGGCCTCTCTTGTGTGTTTTCAGCACTGACTTCACAAATATAGTGGAAATTTCGCTCAAGCGGTTCACGGATGCGTTGGTCGAGGAAATGGAAACGCAGACTGACGGTTTAGCTACCGGGATGCCATTGGCAAAGGTTTTACCACAGATTGAGAAGACAGTACCTGTGATTATAGCTGAACCGGACAAGAACCGGTTCTTACAACTCATCAGAGACCTGTCTGAAGTTCAGCTTTTTTTTACTCTTTTATACGCTAATATTCCACAATAGCAACTCTTTTGTTTGTTCTCTTAGCAAAATTGTTTACGTTTTGCTTTCTTTGTTTTCTTTGGGTCTAAATTAGCTTCAAAGAAATGCAAGAATTTTTGTGTTTTGAGATTGTAGAATTAATGTTGATTTCTTCTCTTTTTTAGTATTTTAAATATTTTTAAAAAAGAAACATTTTTTTAATTGGAAGTTGATTAGAAACTAATTAAAGCAACTTACATTTTTTAAAACATGTAACATTTAAAGTGTCCACGATCACTCCATTGCGTCCGCGACTAGCTCACAAGTCAACGGAAATAAGGTTGACTTTTCCAATCTACAAGACTTATACATTCTTGAGATTACCAAAGAACCGAAGTGTAAGACTTTGTTATCGGAGGTTGTCGGAAAAAATGTATATTCAAATGACAGACGGACTTCCTCCGCCGCCGGAGCAAAGTTCGTTTGACCATCGGGTTGGTTAGATCATTCATGCATTTTTCAAAATCTCTCTATCA